ATTAAAAAAATTATAGTGCAACTAATTTTAAATTTATATTTAATGTCATTGAAATATTAAAAATAAAAATTCAATGTTAATTTTAAATGAAGGTAGCTGAAAACCAATTCACTTATCAAAAGGAGGTCCACCTCTTTCCCACCTTCTTTTTTGCAGATGACGTGATTTTGTTTTGTGAAGTTTCAGAGTTGCAAGCCCATGTGATGACCTCAGCTCTTGAAGAGTTTTGTTTGACATCTGGGATGAAGGTGAATCTAGATAAGTCAAAGTTTGTCATTTTCAAAGGCGTCTCTAGCTCTCGGGTTGAAGACATTTCACATATACTGGGAATTGAGCATTCGACTAGGATAAAGAGTTATATTGGGGTACCTATGCTTCAAGGGAAGACCAAAATTGCTGACTTTAATCAATTGTTGGATAGAGTCAATAATAGGGTAGCTTCTTGGAAAAACAAACTCTTGAATAAGGCTGGGCGTTTGTGTTTAATAAAATCAACTATCACTTCCATACCAGTTTACATTATGCAATCTCTTTGGATTCCACAGGCTATTTGTGATAGGATTAATCAAGTTTGTCGTTGGATGTTATGGGCCAAACCAGGAGTTTCTTACTACTGGTCTCTGGTTGGGTGGAATACGATTTCAAAACCTCTAGAGATGGGAGGTCTAGGAATACAAGAGGCTCGACATATGAATATCTCGCTCCTTGGGAAGTTGATCTGGGATCTCATCCACTCCCACTACAAACCTTGGGTTAGTTTTGTTCGTGCCAAATATTTGAATGGTGAGTCAGTTCTCCATGCAAGTAGTAAGTAAGGCGCTTCGCCAGTTTGGAGGGGTATAGTTAAGGCACTTCCTTTCATCCGTGAGGGGTTTCGTCCAAAGTTTGGGTCTGGTCACTCATCGTTGGGGTTGGACGACTGGTCTGGAATGGGTAAACTCGGAGCTCAGGTTCCAGTGATCCACATCAGTGATTCTACTGCTACAGTGGCAAAATTGTTGGCAACTTGGAACATGGGATTTTGGCTTCCTTCACACTACTATCCCGAATGAGTGGCTAATGTCTTTTTAAAAAATTGATATACCTTTGTCTAGAGTTGGGGTAGACTCATTCACTTGGACGGGAGGCCCTTCGGGATGTTATTCAGCTGCATCGGGATTTAGATTTCTTAGTGTAGAGGGCACCAGATTGAACAATCCTATTTGGAAGAAAGTGTGGCGGCTACACATTCCGGAAAAAGTGAAATTTTTTCTCTGGTTAGGATTGCATTCAGCCTTACCTACGAACATGTTTCGCTACTCGAGATGGCTGGGGGAGACTGACCTTTGTGCTCGTTGTTCAGGTGGGCAAGAGACAATCCTTCATGCACTTCGAGATTGCCTACATTCCCGTGAAATCTAGTTTCAGTTAGAAAATACTCCACCTCATCTATTCACCGGCTTCGAGAGCGTTATATGGTTCAAAGACATCATTATGCATTCTGAGGCTGTCAAGTTGGCTATAACCAGTTGGTGGATATGGAGGTATAGAAACAATATGGTTTTTCAAGGTTCACGTTGGTTAATGCCTTCGGTGCTAAAGAAAGTGATGTTTCCCTTGCTGAATTGAATTTGTGGCTTAATTCTAGGAAAACATGGTTGGAAAACACATGCTGGTCCCCATCGGATTATCCAGGGATTAAAGTTAATATTGATGGTAGCTGGTTGGAGGGTAAGAATAGGATGGGGTTTGGAGGGGTTATTCGAGATAGCGTAGGGAGATGGCTGGATGGTTTTGCCAGTTCAGAAATAGGGGGTGATCCTTTACGAGCTGAACTTTTGGCTATAAAGGAAGGATTATCTTTTTGCTGGAATTTTGGTTACAAACAAGTGGTATGCAAGGCATATTGTATTGATGCGATATCTGCGATTGAACGAGCTATTTGGGAGAGGAATCTTGTTCATAAACATAGAGATATAATCAATAATATCAAAGATTTGGTGGAGAAAGATTGGCGAGTTGCATTTATTGGGATCCCGAGAGAGATTAATCAAGTAGCTCATGTTCTTGCAAGTTGGGGAGTTAGACTAGGGACTCAACATGTAACATGGAGGAGTCCTCCAAATTTTGTGTTTCAAGTGTACGGGGAGAATCTCAGTTCCCTATACTAATTTCATTTCTTTCTTGTTTTTTGTCCTTTATTTTTTTTCCACAACACAAAAAAAATATTGTATTTAACGTTAATTTTGTTGAAATAATAATAAAAATGCAAGATAATCAATAACTTAAAATACATTAATCTCATAAGTAAGTGAAAGTATCATATCACACAGATGAGAGTGTAGTTTTAGGGTTATATGGTATAAGGATAATTATGATATTTAATAAATATTATTAAACGGGTACCCGCCCTCGCCCCGTTTATAAACGAGTAAAAAATTATTTGTCTCCATTATCCGCGGACACGCACTTAGTCTATCCATTTATTATCCGTAACAAATTTTACTTGCAGATACATACGGGTGCAGATATTTCTGCCATCCTTAATTATAAGACTAGTGAATTTTTTTATTAAAAATAAAAATAAAAATATAA